TCCCCAAGGGCAGGGCTGGTGCAGTAAGTGGTACCCGGGATCGAACCATGATCTCCTGCACCCACCTAAGCTTACCTAAGCAGGCGTGGCAGCCCACTGAGCTGTCTCGCCGGCCCTATACATTAAACTTTAAATTGATACCAAAAGGTCTTAAAATTTTGTCCTCAGTTGTGTTTGTTAGGTATGAACCCATGCAATGGACCATACCAGGCATTCTGACATGAGTAGAAGATTTATTGGGGGCATCAAGCAGGCTGACTGGACCAAGACAGCAGCAAACAAAGGAGGGACAGGAAACTTTATAGGATCTTTTAGGGAGGGTGATGGTGGGCTGGAATAGCTGAGGGAGAGCTAATCTTGGCAGGGCTACCAGGTCTGTGGGGGACCTTTAATGTTAACAAAGGAGAATTTCTTGGTTGCTTGCCCAGGTCAAAGACAGGTGGACCTGGTCTGGGGTTTTGGGTTTGGCGCTCGTGGGGCCAAGGGGCAATTTGGGGGCAGAATGCCTGGGAAACCAAGAGGGAGAGTGTTTGGGGCAAGATGCCTGGGAAACTTTGAATGGGATGCCTGGGATGATATCCCAGACTCTATTTGATAGAAAAAGGGTGAAGAAATCATCTGGCTACTTCCTGCTCAGCAGAGGTGTTGTGGAGATCATGTCTGGAGATCAAAGCAAGGAGTTGTCTTCATTGAAGGGGTTGCATTGGAGCAAGGCCTGGTAGGAGTAATCTGAGAGAAGTATTTGGTTAAAATTTTGGGTTGTTAGTCTGGTAACAGTATTGTGGAGGAAGGAAATGAAGCAGGGGGATGTCATGAACATAGTAGAAAGCCTTGCGAGGAGGGGAGCGAGCCAAGGGAAGATGGAGTTATTTATATGAGAGAGGTGCCCCACAGAAACTGCTGTGTATCCATTTTGTGTTGCTTGTCTGGAAGTGTGTTTAACATGTGAGGCTGTGGGAAGAGGGGAGTTGTAAAAGGGAAATATCAATGGCTAAAGGTTTTTTGGGAAGAGGACAGGTGTGTGTTGTTGAGTGAGGCCAGTATGGCCATAAGGTCAGGCCTTAAAATGGACATGTAAACACTTGTTGAGGTTGGTGGTCTGGGTAGAAGAAAAAAATGAGTCCCTGATCTGAATGTGTCATTTTACCATGACCATGTTGAAGGGGAAGAGTAAAGAGGTGATGGGTAATGGGCTTAAGTCTCCTCTTATGTTTGGGGCTATTGGGTATTGGGGGATGTAGGGAAAGGCCATGGAATCTCTGAGGCACATCAATGTAGGAATAGCATGTATGGCATGGGTGGGACTGGAAATGTCTCAGAGTATGTGGTCGACAAGGGAAGGGGACAGAGGAGCTGGCTGCACACTGAGGTTGGGTTTGTAGGATGTACACTGAGGAGAGAGAGAGGTGAGAGAGAAGTGGAGCTTTTGGAGGAGGTCTCTCCCCGAGAGGTAGGGGATAGGTTGGGGTCACAAGGAAATTGTGAGTGAAGAACAGTGTTTGGAGTGAGCAGGGAATGGGCCTGTCTGAAGGCGTCATGTAGGTCTGCCGTCAACACCCACTATGGAGATTGTAGATCTAACGTTCGAACTCAGGAGGAACACTATTTGTGGTGTCTGTGTCAGCAAGAAAAGAGTTTTTTACCTGAGATGTCCAGTGAGACTTGGGACTCTGACAAAGATACCTTGATGTGGTCCATGGACTCCAAGCTCTGTTGTTCCTCTTCAGCGACAAGACCAAACGGGTCAAATATTGATGGATCTGGCTGTAGCAAGTTCTCCTCTGAGGGCAGGGAATTGGACGACTTACCCACTCTTCAGCGGACAGGACAGTTGCATTTCCAGGGCCATCAAGATGGCAGGTTGGGGCAGGTTTGTGTCCAGTGTCCTTTGCCGCACTTGTCAGGAAGAGCTCAGGTGGCGGCACTGTTTAGGCTTAGCATTACCTTGTTAAGATCCTACTTTGATGGGAGTCCCTAGTGTCCCAGACAAAAGTTGGCACTTGTGTATGGTTAATTTCGGTCTCTATTATTAGAGACACAGAAAGTCAGGTTAAGTAAGTTTCCTTGTGAAGTTTGATGGCTGAGGTTTGCCTTTTTAGGTTGGTGTGAATGTCAGGAACAGATCGGGATATAAAATAGGGATGAATAACAGCTGTTTCTTCAAGAGAATCTGGGTCTGTATTAGTACACTTGGTTAGTTTGGAGCAATATACTTGATAATCAGAATTTTATCTGAGTATCAATTGCCTTGAAATATGAAGTATGGCCAAAGAAATGTTATTTCTTATCAACCATCGACATTTTAGCAGTTAAATTCCTGTAGATTTTTTTTTTTTTTTTGTATTTTAAAGAAGGGTCTACAGAGTGTTCAAGGTCTCACTATTAGATCAGACTCCTAGTGATCTGCCTGTTTACAGCCTCCCAAGAGCTGGGATTATAGGCTTGTGCCACCACACCCAGTTTCAGTTAGGGTCTCAGAAGTTAGGGTCTCAGTGCTCCCTGGTGGTGGGCCAGCACCAGCACGGCAGGCCTGGGGATAGAACCCCCAGCCCCTGTGCCTGCTTGCAGGTGCTTTAATCCACTGGCTGAGCTATTTGACCTGTCCTTTTTCCTGTAGAATGTTGACAGTAGTTAAACTTTTATAGAGAACATTTGATATCAGTAGCCATACATAGTAGTATCACTTAACAATCATACAGATGATGAGAAAATAATCATTTAACTGATGACCTTCTGTTAGCTTGACATGAACCTCATAAATATCTGCAGCATAAGAGAAAAGCGTGAATAGAAAACCTTATTTTAATGTTTTGAACAAACTTTGGCTTTTAACCAATGACCAAATTAAATATATATATTTATTTAAAGATCATTATTTATTTATTTATTTATTTATTTATTTATTATTTTGTGTGTGTGTGGCCAGTTCAGCCCACCAGGGGGCGGGGCTTGCTGGCATGTGGTGCTGGGGGATTGAACCGCGGACCCTGTGCTTTGCTTAGCTTAGCTTGATTCTAAGTAGGTGCTTTAGACCACTGAGCCATCTCACCAGCCCCTTAAGTCTATATTTTAAAGCTCAAATAAAAAGAGGAACAGCTGTTGACAGAACAGCTTCTAAATACATTATACAACATACATGAATGTCTTTACAAAATCAGAGTACACTCAGATGTATTTCTGGCCAGGTTAAATTACGATGACCTGTTTGTAATTATGAGAGACTAGTGAGAACTTTTGTAGGTCAATTAGCAGAGATTTCTTATAAGAGAAATTTGGAAAAAGGTTAAAAAAAAAACCTCTTATTTATAGTTAATATATTTGTTTAGGTTTAATATAGTGTATCGGGTTTGAGTGGGAGCAAGCAAACTGGGCAGAGTATAAGGATTAGGCGCAGCACAATAGAGGAGCGCTGGCAGTATTTAAGTCCTGGAGTAGGAGACTGCCCATGGAGGTGGCGGAGGGGCAGGTGAGTTAGGGGAGTGCCAGGCTCACCTGAAATGGGCACTGTGCTTATGCTAGAAGGATAGCAAAGGGAGGGGCGTGCACCTTTGGGGTAAAGCTTCATTAGTTGTTTTTGTATTGAAACCTGAAGGAAAGAGACTGGTTGGAAGTTGGGAGCAGTGAGGAATGTAGGACAGTCAAGGAAGATGTGGGGAGGGGGCGCAAAGAGAGTAACGTGTGTCTCTAGCCCCTGAAAGTTGAGAGGTCAGAAAGTGAAGTAGCATGACAGGGATAAAGCCATACGTTTACACGCACAACATGGGAAGACAAGGGTCCTGAGAATCTGCAGCATGTTTTTTGAAACTCGCAGTTAGTTGGTAGGATTCTCACCCTGACTAACTATATATGTTGATACCTGTGAACCAAGCAACTGCACTAAACATAGCAATGTGTAATGGTACGGTGATGCTTGGAATGCCTACCATTCTATTCTTCCAAATATGTACTGCTTGTCATGACATACCAATTACTGCCATACTGTCTCTCAAGTAAATGTTTGTTTAAAAAAAAAAGGGAAATAAATGAAAACAAGAGATAGGAAAGAAAAAAAGCTACTGAACAGTCCTGCTACAATGCTGTATATGGTTAGATTTCTTAATATCTGTGTAAAATTATGTAATTGTTTATTCATACTTTTTCAAATCTTTTTTTAAATTTTTGTCTTCATATTCTGCAGGGACTTAAAGGTTAACATATCAATACTTGATGGAAAATATCTGTTCCATGTTATCCCTAAGATGTTTGATATTCAGATAGTTAGGTTAAACCCAACTGCATAAGTTGTAGGGTAAAAATAAGCTTCTCTTCTAGAGGATTAACAACCTAAGTTTGCAGACCAAAAATCCGAGAAAAAGAAGGGCTGCAAGGACAGCCAACATTTTGACCCTAGCCTTTCAAGGTCAGTGAAGACTCAGGAAATAGGAGAACCTGTACTGTAACATTATGTAGGTCAGTTGTGCCCCGAATTTTCTGATCAAGGAGATTATGGGACCGCAGAGGAACATGATCAATGACGTAGAGTGTGCCTAAGGAGAGAAAACATGGAGAGAAAACATTCTTTCAGGCTTTCACAGAGAGCAAATTGGTCAAGCAATGGCCGTGACTCATCTACATGGCTGACACTCACAGAGGATCTACAAACTGCGGTATAGGGTTTCAGGTTAAATCTTAAGTCTTGTTTTATCTTGGTCTTAACAATCCAGCAGAAAAGTATGAAAATGAAGTATAAAAAAATAAAGCCACATTAATATGCTGAGCTGTAAAAAGCTCAAGTCAACAACTTTGGACATTGCCATTCTTACGGAAAACCCACTACTGTTATGGACTACTGGACTCTATTGAGAGATTCTGCTGAATTCAAGCACCTACAATATTTAAATGACAATGGAATGCCCATCTGACAAAACTAACCAAAAAAGTGGATAGAAATGCACAACCCTTTTGTATCTATATACTCAAAATAGGACAGATATACAGCTCCACTCTCTTAATTCAGTGAATAGAAAGGTTTGTTATAATAGTGTTTGGGACAGGATATCATGTCTGTATCTTGTGTAGTGAATAACTACTTGGACAACAATATGCAATATATTAATTACTGAAAATGTGCCAGTGATCAGTTGTGAAACTGTCTCATTGATATTTGTTTCTCAATAAAATTATTTAAAAAAACAAAAAAGAACGTGAAGTAGCATCTGTTGCCAAGGGGCTGCTGCAAGGGCAGCTCCTGCGGCTGGACTCAGTGGGGGTGGTGGCCCTGAGGGGTGGGGTGTAGGGGCAGGCAGAGCTTGGATGATTATAGAGAGAAAAGAAAGGACATAAAGCACCTCGGACTATTTCCCATTGCAATGACAAAAGTTATTCAGATTAATGAAGGTGTCATAATCGAGTTCCTGGGGTGCTGTATAGTCTCGTCCAACTTGTGTTGTGGCCAGGCTGTTTGGCACAGAAAAACTATGCATTTGATTTTGAAGTCAGAAAAGCCTAAGGGACCTCTAAGGACACACGTAAGAGTCTAGGACAGAAAAATAGTTCTGAGAGGGAAGAGAAAGAGTAGGGGGAGAGAAAGTGAACGGAGGCTGAAGGCGAGGATTACCTTGTGGGAGTCTCAAAAGGGATGTGTGGCCAAAGCCCACCAAGCAGGAGTTCCCTGGTCAGAGAGGAAGCCAAGTGGTGGAAAGAAGTGGCTCGGCTTGTCGACACGACTTCACTACTTACCAGAGTTTGGCCGTGGGCCCAGAGGCATTGAGCCAGCAGATGAGTTGTCCTAATGAGAGATGGTCTCCCACAGGGAGAAGTTAGGATGAAGTAGAAAATGAAAGAGCAGAAGAGGATGTCATTTTTGGAGAAATCCTCGAAGGAACCCTGACAGAATTCAGAGACTATCCATCCCAGGCATGAGTTGAAGGAGTCACAGGGAACAGGGTTGGAGACAGAGGCAAGTGAGTTGTATGGGAACATTTATCTTCAAGGCGTGTAGAGAAGGAAAGAAAAAATGAAAGTACAGAAGTGCTCTCGCCTGGGCTAAAGTTGGAAAGGGAGCCTTGGAGATATTCGTCTTGATCGATTGAAAGGAGTCAACTGTAGACAGCAAGTCCCCAGAGAGAAATGGCCCTTTATTTTCTTTTTTCTCAACAAGTTGGACAATGGGAGAGATTTGTATTTTAAGGTAGGTTGAACAAGTGATGAGGGAATACTCACAGTTTTGGGTGTCATGGGTGGTTAGGTCAGCAAGGGAAGTCTGAGGCTCGAGGTCTGCTCAAAGGGCTGGCAGCAGACCGGGGCAAGGCCCTGGTCAGGAGTGATTGGCAGAAGCGTTGGCATCCCTCCTGGGTTTCTGGCACCAAATGTTAGGTACAAACCTATGCAGTTGACCAGACCAGGCATTCTGACATGAGTAGAAGATTTACTGGGGGCAGCAAGCGGGCTGTCTGTCTAGCAGACCAGGACAGCAGCAAATAAAGGCGGGATGGGAGACTTTATAGGATCTTTTGGGGAGGGTGATTGCAGGCTGGAATAACAGAGAGAGAGCTAATCTTGGCAGACCTACCCGCTCTGTGGGGGACTTTTAACGTTCAAAGTGGGGCCCGTGGCCCACTCTGCTCTGGGAAAGTTGTCTTGACAAAAGGAGAGTTTCTGTGGTTGCTTGCCAAGGTCAGTTAGGTGGACCTGTTCTGCAGTTTTGGGGTTGGCTCTGCGTGAGGCCAAAGGGAGCGAGTTTGGGGGGAGGGCGCCTGGGTAACCAAGATGGAGAGTGTTTGGGGAAGGATGCCTGGGAAATTTTGAATCCTGACTTATCAGTGTTTAATTTTGAGAAATCTTTTAACCACTTACGATTTTCCCCATATTGTCTTTTAAAAGTAATCCTTTATATGAGTGTAAGTTCTTGAATGTATGGTCTACTTACATAAGAAAATGTGACAGAGACATATAATGTTATAAAGAGACTTTGCAGTATCCCTGTCTGTCTTTGCTCAGAAAGGGGGAAATTTCGTGGCTTAATCATAATAGTTTTATTTTCAATTTTAAAAGAAGGAGCTAGTCCTTTTTCTGTCCAGCTGATGGCTGGAGGTACATTTATAGGTAATACGAGAGCTTACATTTTAATGAGTCTTTTTAGAACTTTCTCTGCTAAACAAGCAGTTACTTTACAAATAGTTTATATTTTAATGAGTTTATATTTGCAGAGGATATATTTTAACAGAAATTTTAATATATTAAAATTAAAATTTATTTAAATATTTAAAATTTTTACTTTTTATTTACATATGTTAATAATATTATATTTTTGGCTTTACAGGCTCTTGCTATGTAGTTCAATCTGGCCTTGAACTATGTAGGCCGGCTGAGATTATAGGCGTGTGATACTGGCTGAAAACATTTTTCTTTTCATTTTTCTTAATGTTATTCACCATGTTTAAGATTTTTTATTAGTAGAACAAATAAAAGTTATTGGTAGTTGAAGAAAATCCTTTATTTTTCATGGTGCTAGTTATATCTAATGCAATAAATAGTTGAATAATTAAATCCTAAAATATCTAACATAAAATTTGATTTTTGGAGTGTAGTAGTGGTAAGGCAAATAGTGAAAAATTTAAAAAGGAAAATATGACTTACAGGAGCATTAGTTCTGTTTAGGTATATTTAAGAACTTTATGTTAAGCAATAAATGTAGCATTTTGAAATAACTGTGTAGCATGTAGTTATTTAGTAGAGGGCAAAGATACAGTTTTGTGTTGTCTATTTCTGTATTGTAAGAATCGTTTTGGTTTATGTCTTCTATTCTGAGTAACTGCTTTGAAGGTAATGATATATAGTGTATTAACTATTGTTATTGTTAGTATTTGTTTTGAAATTTTGTTTTATTTTGTGTTAAACAAATTACCAAGAGAGCAGAAAGAGTTCTTTAAATCAGTTTATGAATAATTCTTAAAATATGTTGAGTAGAAATGTTACCTGTACATAAACGTTACATTTATGTATGTTACCTTGATTGCCTGTATGTTAATGCACATGTGGAAATGCTAAATGCTCCTGAATTTGTGTATTGGTAGAATCTTGGACTTGTTAATACCACTCACTACTCGGGTCTGCGAAAGTGAGAGAGACAAAGTCAGTCCTGTTTACTCAGCGATATTTGGAGGGCAGGAGAAGTGCCTGGAGTTGCTCCTCCAGAGTGGGTACAGCCCGGATGCCCAGATGTGCCCAGTCTTTGGATTCAGTTCTCCCCTGTGCATGGCTTTCCAGAAAGAGTAGGTATATTTGCTGTGTGTATATGTGTCTGTCTGCCCGTCTGTTTCTCTCTCTCTCTCTCTCTCTCTCTCTCTCTCTCTCTCTCTCTCTCTCTCTCTCTCTCTCTCTCTCTCTGTATAATATATTCCCCTGTGACTTCTTTGTGTGGTGAAACTTAATTATCTCTGTTAATGCAAAATTATTAATTTAAAAGCCTCACTGTGATGCGCCTTGTTCAGTCTAGCTCTTGCAGAAATGAGCAGGCAGAAGTCATCAAAGCAGCAGCAGAAAGCCCTCCTGGCCCTTTTGTATCACATCCATGTTGGAAACCTATTGACTGGTGACACCCACATCCAGGATGGGGTACCCTTAATCCCAGTGGTGTCCCCCTTAATCTCATTATCATATACCCAAGATCTGGCCACCTTCAAAAAGTCCTGCCTGGGACTGCATGCAGTCTTAGGCAGAACATTTACACAGGATCCCTAACAATCCTAAAATTCACTGTGTAGACTCCAGAACTGATGGAAGTGACAGGGGCAGGAACCAGGCAGCCTGAAGATGGACCGTTAGAAAGTGTTCAAATGCAGGAGAGAGAATCGAGCTCGGAGGGGGAAATAGAGATGGGCAGAAAGAACCTCATAGGGACAGGGTCAGTGGGTCTAACATTCATGATAGTCCAGGAGAGGCAGGGCAAGCACAGACATGTCTTGGCAATTATTAATGGCCCCAAACTTTCTAACACTAAAGATACAGATTTATAGATTGAAAGATGTGCAGTAAGCCTGAACAGGATAAGCTGAAGAAAAGCATGTTCAAACGTAATCACGCTGTAAGACAAAAATAAAGGACAAACATTTTGGTGTACAGTAGTCCTTGGTCATGAGCATGAGCTAATAAACTCTGATTTTACTTCACTTAGAAACTTTTTTTTTTTTTTAATTTATTAGGACACATTTGCAGTGTCTAATGCTTGCATTCCTTGTGTGGGGCTGGGATGTGGACATGGTGCCTGACTGCCTTGCCATTTGCCTTTTTCCTCCCCTCTCTTCACTTACCATCTCTTAATCCCTCCCCAGTGGAGATAAATCATTGTATCTCCCCACTTTATAGCTTTTATTTTGCTCTTTATAATTTGAGCTTCTCGTATAAGAGAAACTATGCTCTCCATAAGCTTGTTTGTCTTATTTAACTTAAGATTGTGGTCTCAAGGCACATCCATTTTCCTACAAATAAATTCAAATTAATCTTTACGTTTGTGGCAAAGTAGTACTTCATTGTATGTAAATCCTGTATTTTCTTTATCTAGTCATCTATTGATGGACATAGAGACTGCTTCCAAGATTAATTATTGTAAATTGTACTGTTATAAACATGGGTATGTTTGTATCAGTGTATATGATGGGTTTCAGTTTTTTTGGAAGATAAGTGTAAAGGGAATAGCTGGGTCAAATAGTGTTTCTAGTTTGAGTTTTTTGAAGACTGTCCATACTGATTTTGATAGTGGTTGTACTAGCTTATATTCCCACCACCAGTGTATTCTTTCTGGAGCAAGATGGAATATGAGTGTTGTTTCAACTTGTTTTTCTCTTAATTGTAAGAGACACTGAACATTTTTCATGCATTTATTGACTATACTTCTATGGAGTGTCTGTATCATTAGCCCAGTTTTGATTAGGTCTTTATTTATTTTTTGTATTGGTACTCATTGGTATTTTATTATTTCTATTACCTTTTGATTACCACTAAATTTCAGGAAGAGAAAACACTGCTCTTGGGCATGAGGAAACTTTTATATTCTCTGACACAGGACTTCCATCTATCTTTAATTTGGTATGCAAATCTTTTAATTTCCATTTCATAAATGAATGCCATGAAATAAAATGTTTCAATATCCCAAGTTTCTCATTTTATTTTAATTTTGTATAAAAACTAAATATTCTGTTTCTAAAATATAAGATTGATCTTTAATCAAATGGTTCCATTAATTCTTCCTGGGAAAGCACTTTAGCTTAGTTAATGTACAAGAAGAATTCCTTGCCAGACACAGTTGCACACACGTGTAATCCTAGTTACTTGGGAGTCTGAAGCGGGGAGGTCAGACTTCAAGACCAGGCTAAGCAACTTAGCAAGACCCTGTTTCAAAAGAAGACCTGGAGATGTAGTGCAGGAGTAGCAAGCCCTGCAGGATCTCCCTCTCCACACCCAAAGGAGCATTTACTTACTGGCAAACTTAAAAACATGACTGTTCACTAGTGATTTTGCAGTTATATGTGTACTATAGTTGCTTAACACTTGTGTTGATTGATCTTTAATATTAGGTCCTATTGAGTGCCCAAATTTGGGTCTTTTATTGTGGAGGGTCTAATTTTTTTAAAGTTCTTTGATAGTCTAGATGTTAGTCCTCTGAGGAATAGAGAAACTTTGCCCTTCGAAGTTTACCAATTTGGTGGATCCCAGAAAGGCGTAAGAGCTGTTCTATTCTGTGGGAGTCTTGTTAATTGGACTAAATGTATTCTTCATTAGAGGGGTAGGTTTCCAATAAAACAGGTGTCTCAGTTACTTTTCTCTCATTGCTGAGACAAAATGCCTCACAGGCAGAATTAAGGAAGGAAAGGGTTATTTAGCTCACAGCTTTTGGAAGCCCCAAGGTTAGCACATGCCAGGTTAGCACATGGCAGAGGGCAACAGTTCCTGGTGGCAGAAAACAGCGAAAGCAACAAGAGCAAAAGGTGAGGCGCAGAGGTGGCGAGAAGGCTCTGTGGCTCCCTTACACGGAGTGAAGGCTGCCTGCCCAGGGAGGGTGGCACGCACACCCATGAGCCCAGCTGTGGACGGTACCTCATCAGAGCTGCAGAAGCCCGCGCCAGGGCGGCATGAGGCTTTGAGGGGACATCACAACGGGCAATTGGAAAATACTGTTGTTTGCCTCTAGAAAAAAAAGTAAAAAACGTTAAATTACCACAATAGTTGTTTTATGAGTGTACATTTGCCTAGTCTTTCTAATTCATTTGTTTGCCTGGAACCAATGATGGTAGACTAAGTTATGGTACTCTTGCACTTATTGCCTGCTTTGTAAAGAATTTAATTGACGAGAAACCTTCCTGAGTGATTAGATCTAAAGTAGGATAGCATCGTAATTACATGTGCCTTCTTTTAATGTTTGTGGAGAAGCGTTGGCTTAGGAATAGTACCACACAGTTTTTGTTGTATTGAAAATTGTCTAGGTTTTTTCTCCATGCTGCTCCTCATTTATCTAGAAAACACTCATTAACCCCTCAGTCTCTTTTTTAAATTTTAAATTTTGGTTTTTTTGAGACAGGGTCTTGCTAGTAGTTCAGGCTGGTCTTGAACTCTACGGAGAACCTCCTGCCTCAGCCTCCTGTGTGCTGGGATTGCAGGCGTGGCCACCATGCCTGGCTCAGTCATTCTATTGTAATTCTGGCTTGTTTACTTTTCACTCATTGCTGGGTCAAAATACCTGACCCGGCCTGGGGAGATGGCTCAGTAGAATAAGCGCTTGCCTGGCAAGCGCAAGGGCCTGAGTTCAATCCCTGGTTCCACTCCCCAGGAAACCAAAAAACAAAAACCCTGACACCCAAAATTGAGGAAAGGTTTATGTGGCTTGCAGTTTCTGAAGGTTTCAGGCCATTCTCAGCTAGCTCCAAGACAGAGTGGCACAGGGCAGAGGGCGACAGCTCATGATGGCGGAGAACAGCAAGTCAGCCTGAGCAAGCCGTGAGGAGCAGAGGCAGAGAGTAAGCCTTTCTCCCCCCTTAGGGGTATGCAGGCTTCCTGCCCAGGGCAGCGGTTCCACTCACACTCATAATCATGAACTCTAGAAAGGACCCGTGACTACATGAGCCTGAGGTTTTAGGTGACAACTAGACACCCTAAAATTCTACCCCTGACCCCCAAAGATTAGTGTATATCCCTTTATTCAAAGGTATTTTAGTCTCATTTCTAAGAGCTGCCAAAGTCCCAACAGTTTCATCGTGGTGGGCCGGGGATAGCTCAGTAGCACAGTGCTTGCCTCGCAAGCATGGGGTCGTGAGTTCAATCCTCGGTACTAGAATAGAAAAGAAAAGTTTTACCATTGTTGAAATGTCAGAGTCCCAAGTGTCCTCTAAGATCTAAGGCAAACTCCTAGCTGTGAGCCCCCGTACAGATGACAACTTAAACACTTCCAAAATTTAATGGCACAAGAAAAACATTACCATTCCAGAAAGCACAGACAAGGGATACAAAGCATTGGGACCCACCCCAGTCCAGAACCCAGCAGGGCAGACAGTATGTCCTGCAGTTCCATGCAGAACATCTGAAGCAGTCTGTGTTAGATTGGCGCTCCAAAGGCTGTTAGCTTGCTTCTCAGCCATGCTTATCCTCTAACGGATTATTTTGCTATTCTGTACAAAGCTTTGCCAATCAAGCAAGAACATTTCAATTTGCCTAGGGTTTTTTTTTTTTTTTTTTGTATATGAAAAGATTAATGTAGCTCATATCTTTTGGAAAATACTGAAGTCAAAAAAGCTTTAATTTTTTTCTTTAAGCCTGTTATAATTTCTTTTCCTTAATGAAACAAATGTATGAATCTCATTCCATTTTTTAATTACTAATAACAATTCAGGTTTTGATCATAACATTGGTACCAAATATCCATTTTTTAAAATTAATTTGATAGTCTGATTTTTATATATTTGGTAATAAGTTTAGTGATAAGAGTTTTAAATACTGTTTTTATAGCAATAATGTCTTGCAGTAATTTAATTTGATGTAAGATTACTGTAGAAGATTTAATCAATACTATCTCATTTAAGATATCTTTCTAAAAAAATGTATTTAGTACAGGATCTACAGGGTCTCACTACACAGATCAGACTCATAGTGATTCTCTTATTTTCAGCCTCCCAAGCGCTGGGATTACAGGTGCACAGGTCATTTAAGATGTTAGCGAATAAAATGCTTATTTTATTTACATTTTTGTTGTTGTTGCTGTTATTTCTCTGAAATCTGTACATTG